GGGGGGAAAGGCTACATCCAGTACCGGACCAATGATTTGGGCAATCCGTCCCAGGTTTTTTTTTTCACGTATCAAAACCTCTGGATCCGAAGTAGTAGGATTTATTCTCATAATAAAAAAAATATGTTAAATTTTGTTGCGCAATTTTTCGAATACATAAAAAATCGTCGATAGCAAATTGATCGGTTAATTCAATAATAGATGGGAGTAAGCACTCGGTTTCGTTGGTACCACCCAAGCGAATGTGCAATTCCAGTTTTTACTTATTCTTTTACTTATTCAATGAAGGAATGGTCATTTTCAAGCTCAACTAACCGAAACCTACTTAAAAAAAAATTTGCGGAAAGTCTTTGATTTCTTTATCATAATAGGCAAGACTCTTTTTTATCTAGCGAATTCGAAACTAGATTTCTTATTCATTATTTCGATCTCATTAGCTTTTTTTTTTTCATTTTCGTGGATTAATTCCGCATATTGTCATATCTAGGATTTACATATATAACATTTATTACTGTCAAGAGTGATTTTATTATTATTTTAATATTAAATATTTCGATTTATAAAAAGTCAAAGATTCAAAACTTGAAAAACAAGTATTAGGTTGCGCTATACATATGAAAGAATATACAATAATGATGTATTTGGCGAATCAAATATCATGGTCTAATAAAGAATCATTCTGATTAGTTGATAATTGTGTGAACGATTCCTGTGCAAAAGGTTAATTAAATCTATTCCTAATTTATGTCGAGTAGACCTTGTTGTTTTGTTTTATTGCAAGAATTCTAAATTCATGACTTGTAGGGAGGGACTTATGTCACCACAAACAGAGACTAAAGCAAGTGTTGGATTCAAAGCTGGTGTTAAAGAGTATAAATTGACTTATTATACTCCTGAATATGAAACCAAGGATACTGATATCTTGGCAGCATTCCGAGTCACTCCGCAACCCGGAGTTCCACCCGAAGAAGCAGGGGCTGCGGTAGCGGCTGAATCTTCGACTGGTACATGGACAACTGTGTGGACCGATGGGCTTACCAGCCTTGATCGTTACAAAGGACGATGCTACCACATCGAGCCCGTTCCAGGAGAAGAAACTCAATTTATTGCGTATGTAGCTTACCCCTTAGACCTTTTTGAAGAAGGTTCGGTTACTAACATGTTTACCTCGATTGTGGGTAATGTATTTGGGTTCAAAGCCCTAGCTGCTCTACGTCTAGAGGATCTGCGAATCCCTCCTGCTTATACTAAAACTTTCCAGGGACCCCCTCATGGTATCCAAGTTGAAAGAGATAAATTGAACAAGTATGGACGTCCCCTATTAGGATGTACTATTAAACCTAAACTGGGGTTATCCGCGAAGAACTATGGTAGAGCAGTTTATGAATGTCTACGTGGTGGACTTGATTTTACCAAAGATGATGAGAATGTGAACTCCCAACCATTTATGCGTTGGAGAGACCGTTTCTTATTTTGTGCCGAAGCGATTTATAGAATCACAGGCTGAAACAGGTGAAATCAAAGGGCATTATTTGAATGCTACTGCGGGTACATGCGAAGAAATGATCAAAAGAGCTGTATTTGCCAGAGAATTGGGAGTTCCTATTGTAATGCATGACTACTTAACAGGGGGATTTACTGCAAATACTAGTTTGTCTCATTATTGCCGAGATAATGGCCTACTTCTTCACATCCACCGTGCAATGCACGCTGTTATTGATAGACAGAAGAATCATGGTATGCACTTCCGTGTACTAGCTAAAGCTTTACGTTTATCTGGTGGAGATCATATTCACGCAGGTACAGTAGTAGGTAAACTTGAAGGAGACAGAGAGTCAACTTTGGGCTTTGTTGATTTACTGCGCGATGATTATGTTGAAAAAGATAGAAGCCGCGGTATCTTTTTCACTCAAGATTGGGTCTCACTACCGGGTGTTCTGCCTGTGGCTTCGGGGGGTATTCACGTTTGGCATATGCCTGCTTTGACCGAGATCTTTGGAGACGATTCCGTACTACAATTCGGGGGCGGAACTTTAGGCCACCCTTGGGGAAATGCACCGGGTGCCGTAGCTAACCGAGTCGCTCTGGAAGCATGTGTACAAGCTCGTAATGAGGGACGTGATCTTGCTGTCGAGGGTAATGAAATTATCCGTGAGGCTTGCAAATGGAGTCCTGAACTAGCTGCTGCTTGTGAAGTATGGAAGGAGATCAGATTTAACTTCCCAACCATCGATAAATTAGATGGCCAAGCATAGATAAATTAGATTAGTAATTCACGTTCGTTTTATTAGTTTAATTGCAATTAAACTCGGCTCAATCCTTTTAGTAAAAAAAAAGGATTGAGCCGAGTTTATCTATTGTATATACTATTTTTGATAGATACATACTTATCTTATTTAGATATAGAAAATCTAAAAAAAAAAGAAGATTAAACACAACTACAATTTTGTATTGTAGTGTTGTGTCCATAAGAAATCCTATACGAAATATGGATTCTTAGGATTGTTGTATTCTTTATTTTACGTTTCGTGTCAGGGCTTGAACCAAGTATCCCCACTTCTTCGACCCATTCTGCATGTTGTCCGTTTCTTTTCATTCCGTATTGGAATAAAAACCTTTTTTTTTTATATTAGTATACGAGATTTTACTAAAAAAGTTCTTCATATCGTTCTATTCATAAGCGAAGAACAAATATTTCTTTTTTTTTTTTAGGAGAATTTTACACAATATAAGAAAATCCTTACTTTTCGTTTAGAATTGAAATTTATTAATTTCAATTACTTTACTTTTACTTAATAATCTTAGCAATTGCATCGATTGCGTACTCTGACTAGCAAATGAACTATTCAAAAAATTTTTGCATTTTTCAATTTTTTCATTGAATGACTATTCATCTATTGTTATTGTATTTTCATGTAAATAGAGGCCAAAAGCTCTATGGAAAAATCGTGGTTCAATTTGATGTTTTCTAAGGGAGAATTGGAATACGGAGGCGAGCTAAGTAAAGCAATGGATAGTTTTGCTCCTATTCAAAAGACTACTATATATAAAGACCGGTTTATATATGAGATGGATAAACACTTTTATGGTTGGGGTGAGCGTTCTAACAATAAGGTTGATCTTTTAGTTAGCGCCAAAGACATTCGGAATTTCATATCGGATGACACCTTTTTTGTTAGGGATAGTAATAAGAATTGTTATTCTATATATTTTGATAAAAAAAAAAAAAAATTTGAGATTAACACGGATTTGAGTGACCTAGAATTTTTTTTTTATAGTTATTGTAGTTCTAGTTATCTGAATAATAGATCTAAAAGTGACAAGGATCTGCACTATGATCCTTACATTAAGGATACTAAATATAATTGTAATAATCACATGAATAGTTGCATTGACTCTTATTTTCGTTCTCACATCTGTATTGATAGTCACTTTTTAAGTGAGAGTAATAATTCCAATGAAAGTTACATTTATAATTTCATTTGTAGTGAAAGTGGAAAGATTCGCGAAAGCAAAAATGACAAGATAAGAACTAATAGGAATCGTAGTAATTTAATGAGTTCTAAGGATTTCGATATAACTAAAAACTACAATCAATTGTGGATTCAATGCGACAATTGTTATGGATTAATGTATAAGAAAGTCGAAATGAATGTTTGTGAAGAATGTGGACATTATTTGAAAATGACTAGTTCAGAGAGAATCGAGCTTTCGATTGATCCGGGTACTTGGAATCCTATGGATGAAGACATGGTCTCTGCGGATCCCATTAAATTTCATTCGAGGGAGGAACCTTATAAAAATCGTATTGACTCCGCTCAAAAAACGACAGGATTGACTGACGCTGTTCAAACAGGTACAGGTCAACTAAATGGTATTCCGGTAGCCCTTGGGGTTATGGATTTTCAATTTATGGGGGGTAGTATGGGATCAGTAGTAGGCGAAAAAATAACTCGTTTGATCGAGTATGCTACCAATCAATGTTTACCTCTTATTTTAGTGTGTTCTTCCGGAGGAGCACGAATGCAAGAAGGAAGTTTAAGTTTGATGCAAATGGCTAAAATTTCTTCGGTTTTATGTGATTATCAATCAAGTAAAAAGTTATTCTATATATCAATTCTTACATCGCCTACTACCGGTGGGGTGACAGCTAGTTTTGGTATGTTGGGGGATATCATTATTGCCGAACCCTATGCCTATATTGCATTTGCGGGTAAAAGAGTAATTGAACAAACATTGAAAAAAGCCGTGCCTGAGGGTTCACAAGCAGCTGAATCTTTATTACGTAAGGGCTTATTGGATGCAATTGTACCACGTAATCCTTTAAAAGGTGTTGTGAGTGAGTTATTTCAGCTCCATGCTTTTTTTCCTTTGAACAAAAATTAAAGCAAATAGAACAGTTAGTTTATCAGAATTAAACGAAAACCCCGAAAAATGAATTTTCCTCTCTTGCTTGCATATGTATAGATAATTCAAATAGAGAGATATACAGATCGATAGAGAGTCTTTCATCTTTTTGCATTTCCCGAGAATTCCCTGTTGTGGGATCAGATTCTAATCAATTTTTTAGAAATTTGTAATGGAATAAAATTGTTTCTTTATTAATGAGAAGACAAAAATAACAAAAAGAATAATAAATCTAACAAGGGGACTATGATACATCTATGTTATTTTGAAAGATGAATAAGTCCATTTATTTTGTTTGGCGTTTCTTGTACCTATTTTTTTATTATATTTCTATTAGGTTCTATATCTATATTAGTATTAGATATATATTTACTTAAAGATACTTAGTATAATTATATAATATATATAATAGAAATAATAAAAATACAAAATATTCTAAGATATCTTTAGAATTCAGAATATAACAATAACAGGTACAAATATTAAATTGAGGTACCCATTTTATGACAACTTTCAATAACTTACCCTCTATTTTTGTGCCTTTAGTAGGCCTAGTCTTTCCGGCACTTGCAATGGCTTCTTTATTTCTTCATATTCAAAAAAATAAGATTTTTTAGATCGGATGAGACCTAATTGTATCACTCCTTTTTGATTTTAAAAGCTTCGATTTGATAAGACCCATTTAGTAGAATATTGTATAATACATAGATTCCTACAAACATAACTAAAAAAAGCCCTTATGCATGTGTAAACGTATTATATGGGTAAAAAATTTGCGCTCTTTTCAAAAATAGATTACCATCGGGCCTATGTATGAAATTCAAATCTAATATATTGATTTTTATCTATTTTTTATCTATATAGTTAAGATCATATAAAGGAAGGAGATGTTCTTATTTTAGATAGAAACAATTCTATGAATTACTCCTAAGGTAAAGGTTCACAACAAAATAGTTCATGAGAATTATTTTGAAAACAAAAAAGGAAAGTCATATTTTCTCAATTCCAAAAAATTGTATAACTGGATCTAATATATATGAGTTGGCGATCAGAATCTATATGGATAGAATTCATAACGGGGTCTCGAAAAACAAGTAATTTCTGCTGGGCCTTTATCTTATTTTTAGGTTCATTAGGATTCTTATTGGTTGGAACTTCCAGTTATCTTGGTAGAAATTTGATATCGTTATTTGCGTCTCAGCAAATCGTTTTTTTTCCACAAGGGATTGTAATGTCTTTCTATGGGATCGCAGGTCTCTTTATTAGTTGCTATTTGTGGTGCACTATTTTGTGGAATGTGGGTAGTGGTTATGATCTTTTCGACCGAAAAGAAGGAATAGTGCGTATTTTTCGTTGGGGATTTCCTGGAAAAAGTCGTCGCATCTTTTTACGATTCCTTATGAAAGATATTCAGTCCATCAGAATAGAAGTTAAAGAGGGTGTTTCTGCTCGGCGTGTCCTTTATATGGAAATTCGAGGTCAAGGGGCTATTCCTTTAATTCGTACTGATGAGAATTTTACTACACGAGAAATTGAGCAAAAAGCTGCTGAATTGGCTTACTTCTTGCGTGTACCAATTGAAGTATTTTGAAATTCATTTTTTTTTTAAAGACTAAATGTTTTGGCAGTAGGAAGAAAAGATGAGAGAATTTCTTTGTTTTTTTTTTTATTGAATATTCATCTATTCTTTTATGCTCATTTTTTTTGATATATTTGATAGAAAAGAAAGGGAGTTTCTTCGTTTCGAAAATAAAATAATCTTTTTTATTTGAAAAATTTGAAAAAGTTCTTTTAGTATTGCTCAAAAAAAGGGAGAATAACATCCTGGAAATCGCATTTTTTCTTGATTCAAATTGGAAGTGTATTCTGAGTCTATTTCTGTATTCTTTCTAGATTCAAAGCAAAGACTCATTATTGAATCAAAAGAAAAAGAGAAAATGGATTCATAGGCTCAATACATTCTAATTAGAATAGAAACTCATGCTCGATATAAATACTCGATCTAATAGAATCAACAAGTGCGGTAGGTTCATTAAAAATTCACAGATTCAAAATGCCAAAACAGAAAGCATTCATTCCTTTTTTTTTTTTTACATCTATAGTCTTTTTGCCCGGGTTGATCTCTCTCTGCTGTAAGAAAAGTTTGAAAACTTGGATTACTAATTGGTGGAATACTAGACAATGCGAAACTTTTTTGAATGATATTCAAGAAAAAAGTGTTCTAGAAAAATTCATACAATTAGAGGAACTATTCCAGCTGGATGAAATAATAAAGGAATACCCAGAAACCGATTTACACCAATTTCGTCTAGGAATCCACAAAGAAACCATCCAATTTATCAAGATACACAATGAGTATCGTATCCATACAATCTTGCACTTCTCGACAAATCTAATATCTTTCGTTATTCTAAGTGGTTATTCCTTTTGGGGTAAGGAAAAGCTTTTTCTTCTGAATTCTTGGGTTCAAGAATTCCTATATAATTTAAGTGATACAATTAAAGCTTTTTCGATTCTTTTATTAACCGATTTATGTATCGGATTTCATTCGCCTCATGGTTGGGAACTCATGATTGGTTATATTTACAAAGATTTTGGATTTGCTCATTATGAGCAAATTTTATCTGGTCTTGTTTCTACCTTTCCAGTCATTCTTGATACAATTTTTAAATATTGGATCTTTCGTTATTTAAATCGTGTATCTCCGTCACTTGTAGTGATTTATCATGCAATAAATGACTAAAAAATGATTCACTGATCAAATTCTAATTTATACATCATAACCAAATCAAAGTCGTATTTACTTTACTCTTTTTACCCCTGAGGGATTCCTTGTATATTTCAACAA